GGGGTTCAATCTTTCACGGACCCCCAAATATGACCATCCTGGTGCAAGGGGCCCTGATTTAACATTTAAAAGGCAGCAGTAAAAATACATTCATATTGCGAAAAACTATTATAAAAAATGCTTATTTGAGTAAAATTAATTTTTTGTTAACTTTTACATTTCAAGTGATTTTCTTTTAAACAAATTAATTTTAGTACTTAATACCTATTTATTTTTTAAATAAATTTTTTAATAATACATTATTCTTTGCTCACTAGAATACTGCAATGTTAGATTTATTTAAATCACATTTTTAAATTCAGTTTATTTTAATCAACTTTTTATTTCATTCAAATTATAAATTTTTAATCCAATTTAAAAAATGTTATTAAAAATGGTTTAAAACCGATTTATTGTCATCAATTTTTTATTTTATTCAAATTCATTATTTTTAAATCAATTTATTTGAATCAAATTTTTATTTTATCTAAATTATTTATTTTTTAAAATTCATTTATGTTTAATCAAATTGTAATTTTATTCATTTAAAAAAAAACATTTATTTTAATCACATCTTTGTTTTATACAAATGACTTTTAAACAAAAAAAATAATAAAAAAATTTCAACAAATATTTTTCCTTTAATCAAATGATTTATTTTTAAATCATTTCATTTCAATCATATTTTTAATTCATTCAGATTACTTATATTTATTTAATTGAACCTGATTTTTTCATGTTTGATGTATTTTCACGTTTCCACTGACCCGCTAACACTCCCCCGGTTTGAGAAGCCCTGCCGGTCAAACACGGTTTACATAACAGTGCAAGATAAATAACTTTATATCCCACGCATTCTGACCATTACAGACGTAAACAACTAGTCACACGTTTCTAGATGTAAGAGCGCTACATGTAACCAGATGAGAATAAAACACAAATGCAAGAGACAGAATGAACGCTCGACACAACAGCGGATCAGAAACACATTAAAATACATCATTAATATTCACAGGAAAAGAGAAGTTAAAGGCAGCGGGTTGTAAAACGACAAGGGTGTCGGGTGCAGGAGTGAGTTTCTTGCATCTTGAAGCGTGAGAGGGAAGCGTCGTGTGTTCGAGGCTCTGCGCAGACGTTTGCGCAGATCTTCCTGATGCGCAGCTACGCCGCATTGATCTTCTGCAGCTCCTCCA